ATGATGGAGTCCACAACAAAATACACTGAAATGGGGTAATTGTACAACTTTGAAGAACGCCACCTGTTGTCGGAAGGGTATCTTGTAAAGCATCGTAGACCCTGACGCGGCCTGTCATGTTCGAGAATAGAGCACATGAAAGGTTCTTGGGAACACCTCTCCACGAATATACTTCGAACATAATGGGTGGATTGACAGAGTCAAACGCACTCTTGAAGTCTAGGAACACAGCTATTGTCGGCCTGCGGTACGTGTAACGCTATGCCAAAAACTGCCGAAGTGTGAATGTGTGATACATACAGCCCCGTCCTGAATAGAAGCACGTTTACTATTCCCTTATCTGGGATTCTCGTTCCGCAAGGTTATGACGAACTTGTATTTTGTCACCACGGGCGTTGGGCTAATACCCTTCTGGTTATTACAGTTTGTGCGACTGCTCTTCTTGTATATTGCCATTATAATCGATTCACTTTATATAGTCCGGAGGGTCTCGTAATTCCAGACATGTTCAAACAGGGAGGTCAGTGCTTTTGCTGGGAACCTCGCCTCCATCCTTAAATAGTGCAGGTGAGGGGAAATCCAGGTCAGCAGCCGAAAACGATTGAGAGCGGCGATCATGTTTCAGACCTCAGCCTCCGAAAAGCCTGTAAACCAACTGTCCATGAATCATCCTGCAACACCTGAGTAGGAAAAGGTCCGGAGGCATGTGGCCAACTGAACTGCTTTGAAAGTGCTCCGCCCAACAAGCCACATGGTGCTCCTTATTGTGAAGCAGAGCGCCCGCGCCGTCTGATTGTCTCACTGAGGCTTGATTGATTGTGACCAGTGGCGCGGATCAGTTGGAAGAGTTTGCTTTAATTGCCTACTGCGCCAGCCTCACACTTCTTGAGCCCGACTGGTCCACCATGCTTCCTTGTCAGGGCACATGCTCCATTTCAGTTCCCGCCTAATAATCCGTCTTGTCACATTGCAGCGTGAGCTAGCCTGAGGGTTACTTCGGCATTCCAGCAGTTGAACTGACCTGTCGGACTTCCAGTGACTTGTGTGCTGACGATTGATAGTACCACAAGCAGATGCTCCCGTGTCGTGCATGACGGCCGAGATCCTATTCCACTGAAGCTCAGTGTCCTTAGGACAAGAGAGCAAAGGTTGGATACGCAGTGCATCCTGTTGGGCTTACCTGACAGGGCTGAGATAATTGCTCAGTTGTCAATCGAGAGAGACGCTTGATGCATTTCCAGGTGAAGTTAATGAAAAAATTGAAGCGTAACCAGGCATGTTCTGAGTCAACACAATTACACCGGACCGAGTGGTACTTCAGGATGGAACCACGCCACTTGTAACTTATGGGTTCACCGCTGGTCAACTACAGGAGAACGCCTATTGTGTCTAAGAGCGGTACTAATAAGAAACACAATACTTTGCACACGGTTACATCAGCTGCGTGTCACTGTCTGTCCGTTCGGAGTTAAGCTCATAATTAACACCTAGCTGAACTTCTGAAGGGCTCCGGCGACCTACTTGTGCGTTTATATCACCTGCAAGTACTAGAATATATGGACTGGTAACACTGCGTAGTAAAGTGTTCAGCTCGTGGTAGATTGTGTCCTTGGTGGCAGCTGGTGTCAACATAGGAGAAAACCACAAACAAACAGCGTTCGGTGCTACCACATGAATCAACTTTTGTTGACGCAGTCAAACGGACGGTACACAAACGGTTGCTTATGGAAATCCGAGCAATAAACGAACACTAAGCATTGGAGCCGAGAACAATGTCCAATGCAGCTTGGCCAGTGATTGCCGCATCAACGTCTCCGGATGCGTGCAACCAATAGTGGGAGGACAAATCGGGCGCAGTCAATTCAACAGCCCCGTCCGAGGCATTGATCCTAGATTCAGATGCGTAACACATGTCAATACCCAGCGTGTCCAACATGCGTGCGAGTGCAGTCTGTTGACCCATTTGACTTAGAGTGCGAAGGTTAAACGTAGGCAGGGAAACAGGACAGCGTGGCCTTATAAGGAGCCGTTGGCGATAGGCATCTATTGTGTATTGCAGGAAGGTCGCTGCAAATGATATGACTCCCTTGGCGGTACGGCTGCTGTCAATTAAGCTGGGAATTATAGAAAGATGGTTAGTAAAGGAGGTTGGGACTGGAGTAAGAGTAAAATGAGTAAAAGGAAGAAGGGACGCGTCAGCAGTAGAATCTTTCGCCTATCCGCCCTGCTGTATGTAGCAGATAAGGCAACCCTTGAGACGGCGGATGCAGGGTGTGGTTGTTGCTTGAGGAAATAGTCATGGCTGTACGTAGGGTGAGATCCTGCTAGGGCGCCCAGACCTAGACAGGAGAAAAATTAAGATCCTCAGCCGAAGCCTTTGGCTCAAAATCATATCCGCATGGCATCGGGCGGTGGCAATGATTTAGTTTTACAAAAATTGACACCATCCTATTTTAAACCCTCAAAATGGAGGACCAGGAGACCGAGTTCATCCGAACTCTAACCCTTGACCAACCTGGTAAGATTAGCTTAGGGCCCAACCAGTATCGCTCAATGGGTCGCCGAAGTACGCAAACCGTCGCACCACGTTAAGTTCTAGTCTTACGACGGACACTGCACTCCAAGATGTCCGGATTCGTGCTAAATTCTACTCATCAGTTAGGGGTATCTTGAACTGACGGAGAAACCAGACACATTTGTTGACGGATTTCGTCTTGGTCACTAAGCCAGATCACCACAACAGCGATTGACACAGCGTTTAAAATCCATTATTGGGTGTTTGTGTACCCGTGTGGTGTCTGAATTACGACGCGCAATCTCGACTAAGGCTGCGGTTTGCTTTGAAGTAAACAATTACTGTTTTCCTCACCTTGACCGCATCCGAATTCCTCATCATCAATACACATTAGCTGAGGGTGAGAAGTACGCCTCTGCTAACGTGCCGCAATATAAAAAATAAGATGTTTGTAAGAACACTTAAAAATTCAATATTTATGTAATATAATGTTAAATAACATATTCTTAATTAGCTAGGGGACCGTGTTTGGAGGGAGGATCTAAAGAATAGGGGGGTGGACAAAGAAACTCAGAGAACAAACGCCATTGGGACCGCCTCTTAGCCTTATCAACAGGTGTGTCCAACCAAACGTGTTCATTCTGCTTCTGGTCCCAGGCCGGCAATTGGTATGCACCAACCGACGTCAACTGCGAAGTTAGGTTTTTCATTTCTCTTGACAAAGTCGTCGCTAAGCCCCCTTTCTCTACCATTCAGAAGCAGGGCGTCCAAACTACGCACGTCGTGGGAGCCGGTGGGCTGACATGCGTGACATGTGGCCCAACCATCGGAGCGTGATGCTTGATATAATGGTGTTGAGCGGATCACTTCTTTCCTACACCAAATGCACGGCGCCGAACACGCTCATTGCTCACGCGGTGCTCACACGCGACATTAGCTAAGTTGCGAAGGCAACGATGGTCGAAGGTAACTAGCCTCTTTATGCCTGTCGACTTGATGGGCCAGGTTTCATAACTCTATATGAGGGTTGAACAGACGGCTGCATTATAAACTCTGCCTAGCAAGGCAAGACTGATGTCGCATCGGCGCCATAGGTAACGGAAATTGGCAAAATCACTTTGAGCTTTTCCTATATGGTACGTGACTTCACCTTCATTCCCACGGTAGCTAGTATATCTGCCCAGGTACTTGAATTCCTGAACGACTTCTAGCTGATCACCACGAAGGGTCAGCGCAGTGGTGTGTTTCTGCCAAGCTTGAAGGACTTTGCATTGCAGAGGAGCAGTAGGGGGAGTTGAATGGTATACGTAGAAATTCACCACATCTAAACTCACTCAGACAGCCATCACACGCCCGGAAGAGCACTGTACGCGCGTTTCGTCCTTTCGGGAATCGTCAGCAGTGCGCATTCCATCGGACCCTGGTAGGGCTCGAAACTGCAACTCCACTGTTGCCAGTCCGTGGTTGAAAGCACTGAGCTACGGGAGACGGCAACGGACTGGCAACGGTCGAGTTGCGGGTTCGAGCCCTACGAGGGTCTGATGGAATGCGCACTGCTGAGGATACCCGAAAGGATGAAACTTTGCATTTCTGTGGAACAAAGCCTAGCCCAAAACGGTTGACAACCAGTGCTAATCTGTCCAGTGCTGCTTGGCGAGTTTAATCCTTTTAACAGAGTTAGTCAATGTCGTCAGCATATTCCAAGTCACGAAGTCGTTCAACTGAAAGCGGCTCCATACGTTGTAACTCGTGTCCAGCGAACGCTGTTTCCATGACTTCGTCTCTAGCGAAGTTATAGAGAAAAGGTGACAGCGGGCAACCTTATCTCATACCGCTGAAGATATTGTGGGGTAGTGAAAGTTTGCCGTAAAACCCTCACTCTGCCCGAACTATGTGCGTACAGCGCTCGCATAATGTTTACGTAATATTTGCGCACACCTTCCTGTGCAAACATTGCCAAAGGGTACATCGATCAACCAGATGGAAGACACATTTGACATAGAGAAACAGTATAAGGTTGGGTCGCCAATAAATATGACGATGCTCCAACAATCCATGCAAAGTTGTGGTCGATGCGTCCGAAGTGGATAGTTTTTGGGTTGCTTTCACCCAAATGGGCACTTCACGACACTGTTCATGGCTACTGATTTAGACTGGTCATATAGGGATAACTTAAGCTAAGGGAAGAGCCCGATAATATGGCTGATGGATTTTATCTTGGTCACTAAGCTCTACAACAGCACGACACAGTTGTTAGAAGCTCAGTATTGGATGTTGGTGTCCATCGTGGATTGCAATTCGGAACGAATAACTTGTTGATCCATCGAGTGTTTTCTTAAGTCCAAGCCGGATGATCCATCCTCAGGTGGGTATTGTTGTTAACGTCGTGACAACTATTGTGCTTTCATGAAAAGTTGGGCTGTTCCCATCGCATGTCCCTGTGTAATTCAATAAACAGTCACGTGCAGGTGTATCCAATCAATTAATTCGGACTGCAGAGATTCCATCGGTGCATGTCCGAAGGAAATGACGTGTGGTTTCAGTCCGGCCGATCTTCTCGGAAACGGGCAAACAACTGACGAAGGAATTCTAGTCTTATGGCTGTTGGTTTATTGTGCGTTGCCAAAAACTTCATGCGATAATTGCAACACAATGTTCCGCTTTACAGAATTAGACGTTTATCCAAACTATGCAAACGATGACTACGGACAAATGCACATCACTTATATTGGTGTGGGCAATGAAAAGTACAGACACTGGATATCGTATGCGGTTCACCAACCGGCTGAAGTTCATCAGGTGGAAACTTACCACGTGATCACGGGAAGTACCATACAAAAGTGCACAGTGAATTTCAAAGTATACAGCTCTTGTTGTATTCATAACAAAGAGCCACGTAAATCTCATTCGCCATTCAAGTGTGAGTCATCTTACGTAGTATACAATAGAGAGTATGATGCAAGGGAATACTTACTGGTTTATGAGCACCGTAAGCATTCAATTGAACTGGCCACCTCATTCATTTGGTTCAAAGTAAAGGTGGCATCTTTTACGAGGTGGTATTTTTCACAGCATGAACAACGGGACGATACAGTCGTATGCCCACAGTTTGGTAAGATGCCTTCAAGCACCCCACCAGAGCTGGGTCACAGACTTAGTGCAACAAGTGAGACACATACCATGCGCCTGAGTGACCTTAAACAATTCGCCCTTGTGGAAGAGTTCCAAGGAGTGCAGCTAAACACTAATGCGTTTGCTACTGACGTTCACCGATACAAGGTCCTACACTTCATTTACAACCCCATGTCAAACGTGTTTCGTGTGAAGGAGGTTCCATGGAGGTCTGTAGGTCCGGGGATAGTTTACAACTACGAGCATTTGTTCACCCTCCGTGTTCAGTGGCACTCTAGGTACCGTGCAAACATACGTAACTGGACGCAGTTACTCCATGTAGAACGACATTCGAAGGCGTTATTGATGATTATCCACCCGAATAATGCCTCCGTAACTGCTTTATTGGAGGAGCTGCTAAAGGAGTGGATAGTGTACAGAAATATGCATAAGAAATTCGAGTGGCCCTCGTCCTGGCAGTCTCCTGCCATCCGACTCGTAGGCCTGAAAGTGACTAGGAAGTCTGTATTTCTGGAAGGAGATAACAAAACCATATACGTCGAGCCAGAATACATCCATCCTCACCTAAAATCCATTTGCTACAAGCGACTCACTGAATCGGATGAGTACACGCCCACGGATCGTCTCATTATAACGCCGAACAAACCATATTTTGAGCTGCGCATCATGACGATAGACGACAGCGGGATGTATCGCTGTGAAACCCCAAAGGATGCAAATATACAGTACCAATTTTTCACCGATTACTACATTATTGTGCTGCCAAGGGAAAAAGACGTGTGGAATTATTTGGCTTTGAAACCTCCAGAACCTGGTGACGCAATTACTGACAACTACCCGTATATCGATGCTCTCAACCGATCCTACTTTATTAACGACAAACCCATATTTGGCAGCTGCATTTACTTACTATCTAAAGGTCTGGACAACTACAATGGTCAGAAGATGCACTATCTCATATTTGATGGTTACCAACCTGAGCAGGTGCGAAAATTTACGCGAGATCTAGGTGGTCGGTTTTTGCTTGTGCATGTCTATGAAATTGCTCCTCGTTATTCGACAGAAGCGGTGGAAAGCGAATTCTCTTGTTTGTATCAGTACGAGCAGAACTTCTCCAAGGTATTGCATCATCCGACCATACCGGTTAGCAAAACTAACTTTGTTAAAACTCGGCGCATAGTAGCTACTAAGCACAAGAAACCACTGATCATCACCACATCCATACAAACAAATAGTCCCGAACTGACCAGAAAGCTGCGCACATTCACGTGGTCAACTGCGGACGTATATGATCCGTTGAAGGCATCGGTGCCTGAGAGCAATGTGCTGGAAGGCTTACTTTATGGTTCGTTCGTAGTCCTGATCAGCGAGTATGATGGTTGGGTGTCTGTATACACGGGCGACGAGATGTATCAAGAGCCGTGCAGCCTTGTAAGCTATGGGGTTCAACTTCATCCCGATAGTCCACTGCTTTCCACAGTGGAGATGAAAAATTCACACGGTCTGATTGCAAAGCAATACCGCTTTGAATGTACTTTGACCGCAGAAAAGCAGAGCCTGTTGCTGAGTGCGTACAATCCAGTGGCTGGTAAAGTGGACAAAACTGCTGCTGAATATGTCACACACAGGCTAGCTAACTCATTTCTACACCGCGTACCGATGGCTGAGTTTATCGATGAGAGGAACTCGGTTCCAGATGTTTTACTCAGTCTTCGTCTGGCTCGATTATTCGTTCGATGGCAAGGCACTGTAAACTCAGGTGATTTCATTCAGATGCAATGGCGTACAGACGTGCGAGACGCTTCCCAGGTCGTTTGTTTTTATCGGATGAATGAGACTATACCTTGGAGGGAAATCGGACCACATTTCCAGTTTCGCCTCGATACTTCTAAGGGAGTTTTCAGGTTGACAAAAAGAAAAGCACTTCAAGAGGATTCCGGATTGTATCACTGCCGCTTTTGCATCGACTGTATTGCGCCCACAGAATCCGAAACACGTAGGCTTGTGGTATCACCAAACTCGTCCGAGTTAGCCATAGACATTGACCACGGGAACTCTCATCATAACGGTTCCGGGTCATTGGACGACCCGGTCAAAACAGATGCACCAGTGATGCAGGTGAAGTGTTCAGTTAAATTGTACCGTGGTATACAGCAACGAAGTTTTGAACTTAACCACTCATACGAAACCGCCGTTCCAGACAGCGACACTCACATGAAGCTGGAAACATTGAGTAACTACCAGTTGGTACGTTCAGCCGATGAATATCATCACTTGTTGAACATGTTTGATGTGGAGAAACCAAAGTCGCACGATTATTGGAAATACGTTCGCATCAGTTGTCGTTTGGTCTTGGTGGATGTGGTGCACGATCCACGCGATATTCTTGACAATGTGTCTACGATTACGAGCACTAGAAGTGTGTACTTAAAGTACGAGCTGTTTCGAGGACCAGTCATGATTCCAGAATTCATCCAAACTAGTAGTGAGACACTAACGTCCGCCTTACGCTCCAATGAGTCTACGCACATGAGCACCGTTTTATCATCAAAAGCTATTGACGAGCTTGAAAACGTGTTCACCGTCGAGTATACGATGTTCATGGGTCTACCAGAAGGCTGGACCAAAGTGTGGAAAGTGACGTGTGCATGGGATACAACTTCTGCGTCCGATTGTATCCTCATGAAAAGTTCCATTATCACCGACCCATCCGTTGTTGCCGGACTTGAATCCAATCCGACCTATCAAGTCAACCGTGGACTGAATTTCATGAAACATCATTACGTTTGCCTCCTGAACATCCACTCCTCACTGCTGGTAATTGGCAGCTTTGCCCAGAGTGAATCGAATCATTCCAAGGATGAGATAGAGAGTGAAACAAAACAAGCAACAGTTTCAGCCGTTCAGTGCAAGTCACATGTGACTGAGAGAGTTATTGTTAAGGAAACCAAGAGACCAGTCACTTCTGGGTTCATAATCACGACAAGAGCAGTTCTGTTGAATATCATGTGGGCCGCTTCAACAAATATAGGTCAATCAGCTCTGATGCTTGGAATAATGCCACCAAAACCATTTGCCCTGCAATGCTTCCATAAAACGGACACTAATCCAATTTATAGGCGGTTAACGGCAAGTCCAGAGTCACGAGTATCCTTTGAATTGGTTGCTTTCCGCAAGACATTTGAACAATTGAACTATTCCGATTCCGGTACCTACAAATGTAACACAACCGAACCGTGCCCCTTTTGTTCGCCTGATGTAGGAATCCCTCCACGACAAATGAGTGTGTTTCCAGACGAGTCCATTTTGTCAGTACAACTGAACCTTCAACCGCTCCAGCCAGATTCTGCACCGAGTGCGCATTTCGCTCAGTACACTGATGATGGAGTACCATACCTGAAGGCGGGCCAAAAAGCTAGTGTACAGTGCGTCTATGAAGTTTCGCCCGTCGAACGCTTTCACGCGGAACTCCATATGCTTTACGAGGTGTATGACATTGAACGCAGCAAATCGGTGGGTTTGCCAGCTATGCTTGAGGCCAATTTCACCAAAATGAAAAACGGGAGGAGTTTCTTCTTAGCTGGTTATGCAATCGTGGCTCCAATGGCTCATCAAGTACTTTCGCGCGCTGAGTGCCGTCTGACCTATCGTCCTGGTGCTACTCCTCATGACGTCGCGGCCCCAGTCGGAGTTGTCTATGTTTCTAAAGGCGTTAACATACACGTTATTATCGACGCGGCGGCAAATTTATTTCCTGAGTACATAATTTCCGATACAATGGAAATATTTAACAATTGGTATTCGATATCCAATCAAGAGCCGAACGCCATTCATTTTCACCGATCTGCATCAGACCAGCTCTTAGAAGAGGGCATATTCACATTTCACAGCATGCAAGCACTGGGAGTACCGGCAGGAACCACACTAGCCTTTGTCATACACCAACATAGTAAAAGACTGTATCACGAGGAATGCAGGTTGGTGAGCACGGAGCAAGCTGATGATGCCGATATACCGGTTGATCTAAAAGTGCACCAGGCTTATTTAGACAGTGGTGGTAAACATTTTTTTAACGTCACATTCCAGTGCCTATTGCAACCCAGACATCTAGGGCTGGTGTTCTTGGTCTACAACAACAAGTACAAGACTGTTGATCATTATCAGTCGAAGGCACTGTTGATCCGATCAATACTGGACAAGGTAGACCGATGGATAAGAGAGCCGATGAGTCCTGAGACTTCACCTGAAAATCAGGTGAGCGGGGTGCGAGCTTCGTACGCGGTGGTGAAGTTAAAAATCGGCTGGAAAAATGTCGTCTTTATAGGCCAACCTTGGAAGATACTAATCAGAGACTTTTTCTCACTAAAAGTGAACTTCACGGTGTTCCACCAACAGTCTCCGAATAGGGAGAAACAACCGTGGGCTCATTTAGTCGCAGAAAATTTCGGGGATTCCGTGGGATCTAAAGAGGCCAGGTTCAACGATTCGGGCATATACTCATGCACGGTGACTAGCGGTTGCGATGAATGCGAATTTAAACATTGCTTCGGACCGCGACGTTTGTTGGTTTTGCCAAGCACGCAGCTACTCCATATGTACTTACAAGAGCGTCGGTTAACTTCCACAGAATCGATAGTGGACAATATGTCAGACAGGCGCATTGGTACGGGACAAAAAGCTTATGCATATTGCGTCTATATACGCCCGAGGGGATTTTCGCACAACGAACAACTTCAGTTTCGGGCTGAGTTAGAAGCTACTGCATCAGAAGCGCAAAGAATACTGCGGCATAAAGAGTATCCAACTCGGTATGTGGAAGAGGCTTCTGGCACTGTGGTTACCACTACTTTTGAGTTAGAAGGCCCAAGAATTAGTGGTGCCCAGAGCGTTTTGCGCATGTCATGTTCTTTGAACTTTGATCCAATAAACCTTGATCCTGCAGGAATGGTCACCCCAAGGCAACTCCAGTTCGTTCGCGTGAACCGTACACTCGAGGTGGAGGCTTGGCTTAAACCAATTGTTTTTACAGATTATCTCGGAGCAAGTAACGATATGCTTAAGAAGTGGCTTCGACGGTCCCTTAATGAACCGCTTGCAGCATATCATTTCAATCAACAGCCTGAGGTGAAGTACATCATTCCCGAGGACAAGGTGTGGTTCAGTGTGACGGCGTTTCACGGAATACCCACAGGCTGGATTTATGCATCCCAGTTTACCTTCCAGGATGGTAATATTTATGAAGAACCTTGTGTCATTACCCGGCAAAGGAACTTGACTCGAGAGGCTCTCCCTCAGGCCATTTTTTCGCATCCAGAACTTGACACAACCGCCTTTAGATCCATGGCTTGGACTGAATTTACGTGTGCAATGCGCCGTGAACACTTTGCCATAGCGATCATAGCGTACACTACTGCATCAGAACAAAAACGTAACACTGTCCAGTCACAGGCAGTGCAACTGTTCACTCAGTGGTTGCGTTTGGTAGTTCAGAACCCCACGGATCACAGGGTGATCCCCGTCGGAATCCCTCCTAGATCGCTTGTGACCTACCTGACAGCCCGGATGAGAGTAGGATGGAATGCATCAGTTTTAGTAGGTTCCAAGATTAGCATGATCGGCCACTTGACGACAATGCAAGATAAGCTATACTGCTATTACCAATCGACCGCGGCCGCAGCACCTACGCCCATTAGCAACATGCAAATTATGTACCGTGATCAGCCCACCTCTTTTGAACTAGTTAAACCAAATGCACAGCTGTCTGATGCCGGCATTTATTCCTGTGAATTTGTTCGAAGTGAGTGTGCACAATGCAAACCCCAACCAACAATTAGTAACCGTCGTTTGGTTGTGCTGCCAGACTATTCTGTGGTGAGCATGTTCCTTACACATCAGAAACTTGGGATCCAGGATAGGTGGGTTGCCAACTTTACTACATGTGATAAAGGAGGACAACCCATAATATATACGGACACGCTAAGTTACATCCACTGTCAGCACTGGAATCTCCCAAATGACTGGCTTTTACTGGAAGTAGAATTTAGCTCCATTTTACTGCGCTGGGACGAAAAGACGGAGCCGTTTCCCCTCAAGAGAATTCCGTCGCAAAACCGTTCAGACCATGCGGTGCTGGATTCGGCTGAGGTGGATACACACAACCTCGAAGAAGATGACTCCACTCTGATTGTTGAATGTCGTTGGAAATACCATTATCCAAAGCCCCTTTTTAATGATTTGTCGGGGTTAAAGTCACCCTTTTTGCTGTCATTGAATAAAACAATCCGCGTTATGCTGCTTATCACACCTTACATACACCACCTGCTGGTATCCACCGATGATTTGGCTATTCAGGCGAAAATGCGTAGATTGGACTTTGAAACAAGCACAGCTGTGGAGTTTCACGCTGATGATTACTGTCTGAGGATGAACGAGTCAATCACCATCATTCACATAACAGTCACACTTGGTGTTCCTCCAGGATGGTTTGAAGCATGGAGCTACTACCGCAATGCTGAACAGCTGGTTAAGGAAGACTGTATTCTAGTCAGTGCGGTCAATCTTACAGATTCGGTTGTCCATCAGGCATCATTCATACCAAGACATCGATTCAATCGTGCGAATACCGCCCTGAATACCTCATATGTTTGTAATCTACGTTACGAGCATGTTGCAATGGTTTGGGTCGCACAGCATACACAAAGTGTCGAAGTCAACATAACAGCGACGCGCAAAACTTTTGAACAATCTATACACTCGAGCATCACACACTGGCTTAATAATCCACTCAGCAGGTACAAGTCGAAAATCGACAGGTACGACAGTTCATATGCCACCTATCGAGTCTTTAAGCTCGCCATAAATTGGCGTCACACGGTTGTACCTGGCGAGCAGATTAAGATACTCGGCTTTTACAACGGTCGCACCGGGACCAGTGTACGCTGTTTCCACTCACTTGGCGAAAAATTTGAACTTCTTACCCGGTCCAAAGGGTTTCATCTGGTATTTCGGAAAGAGTTGTTCGGTTTTTATCTCATTGCACCCTATGCTCAGTTCTATCATACCGGTCTCTACGTCTGTAACGTGACGGAGGACAATTGCCGCAAATGTGTGCCCCAAATAGCGTTTGTGCCAAGGTGGTTGACAGTGAAGCCGGATGTAAGCCAGTTTCGACTCTGGATGAGTCACCGCCTTCGGGACCAGGCAGAGCGCTACTTTTTCCAATGCACCGACGACAATCAACCCTACCTCCTTGACAACGAGATCGCGTACGTTTATTGCTTATTTCACTGGCCCGTCAAAACACAGCTGAACATCCCATCCTTCACTCTGACTACTGTTAATAACGCAACGAACCTGACCAGTTCACTGTACGTGAATGAAGTCAAGAGAACGGTAGAGCAACAAGAAGCGCAGTTTGTGGTCACGCATGTATTCAGCCTTGATACTCGACAGGCTAGAGGTCCGGACCAACAGATTGCGGTTATCTGCGAAATCCGTGTCCCAGAGGTGAACTTCACGTGGGCACTTGTAAAACACATTCATGTGTGGGTCCGAGTTAAACCGATCATATTCCGTGCACATATTCTAACGAGCAACCCGATTGTAACGCGGGCACTAAGGACTCAACTGGGACTAGAAGCTATATCAGCGAGGTCGTTTCATCGCTCCTGGGTGGGTGAGCATGTATTAGAGGGCACACTTTGGATACACTATATTGCCGGACTGGGATCGCCCCAAGGATGGTCCGGTGTGGATTTGTTATTCAAAGATGGATCTCGCATACGAAGAAAGCGATGCGATGCCGTGCGTCAACCTCATATTCCTGATGGACCAGCCTTACGGTCACTGCAAAGCACAGACCATTTCGAGCAGACCGGTGGTGCTGACCTTGTGAAATACAAGGTCAATTGTCCATTAACTTCTGACGTTATAGGCATTATGCTTCTGGTGATGAATAGCTTTGATCACCAGCTTTCACTCACAGAAAAGCTGGCTATCTTCTACCGTTCCGTGTACTGGGCCGTACAACAGTGGTTGAAGGATTCGAACTCCACAGACGCTACGTATGCTATACGGCAACCTCAGGGAACATTACTACAGTATAGCCTGATTCACGTTCGAGTCGGCTGGAGAGCGAGCGTTGTACATGGTGACCCGGTCGTCATGTTCGGTGTCTTGTTGTGGAACCAAGCAGACAACATACGTTGCACATATCGCGGACCAGCGGATGCTCCTAAAAAGGAGATCAATATTCGAAGGGACGGAGTTCATGTCAATATAGATTGGAAAAGCGGCTCATTTGAATTAATCAAACCTACCGCTAAGTTAAGTGATTCAGGAACCTACGAATGTGCTTCAAAAAGGTGTCCAAGTTGTAAGATAGTTCCGATATTGATACCGCACCAATTAATCGTGGTTCCACAACAATTGCATGTGATGGTGCATTACAGCAAACTCAGCTCACTACATTTGGGTAACTATTCTGGTAGGATCTACGAGCAATACACTGACTCTGGTCAACCTTTCATCTATGAGGGTCAGTCGATTATGGTGATCTGTGAACACCACGCCGAACAAAGCACTGCTTCGTGGATGCAGTTACTTTTTGAATATGTGCGACTTCATGCCAGCAATTTGACGACAACTGTTTTGCCTCACGAAGATACTGGTGTGCAAACCGAGTACAAAGACACTTACGTAAACGTTTATACGGCACACCGGATTGTTGGTCCTGTCAAGATGAAGCACGGGGACAGTTTGCAGACTATTTGTCGGTTGGAGTTAAACAAGCGACACATTACGTCGGACGATATAAACCAGCGTTCTAGGACAACGGCATTCCTTAGCAGTCGCCAGTTGCAATCTCGCATTTGGAAGAGTCCAAAGCTTATTAGCAACTCGATCAATACGAGTGTACCACGCATCACTCGTACACTCCGGTCCGATAGTCAAAACAGACCGACGGCGCTGGAATTTGTGCATCGATTCTACCGCGAGTCGTTGACCGAAGGTGAACTGTATGTGGCTTATTTGTCGTCACGCAGTGTCCCCGAAGGTTGGTCATCTGTTTTCTCTATTTATAATCACTCCAGCGGTTTTGTTGCTCGATCGTGTGTAAGAAGGGTCGCCCAGCAGGATGCAACGTATCATGTGTATGCAGACAAGCTGAACTATAGTCAGTATGTATGCGTTCTGATTCGGGGGCATGTAGGTGTACTTATCTATACTGCACATTATCCGGAGGAGATGAAAAATCGAACACACTTCGAGACGGAATTTTTACCTTATTCAGCCCGGTTGATTGAGCGCTGGTTTCATAATTTCCACGAACAGCTTCGACTTCCGAGCGATGCCCCAGGCGATTATCGATTGGTACCTATCCGCGTGCACTGGCCAAACATATTTCATATTGGTGATGCGGTGCAAATGTATGGGTTGTTGGATACAAAGGGTCTCTTGGCTCCCCTGTGCTTTTACGGTTATTTGCGACCGCATAGACCGCTTCTCCCGCTTCAAGAATTTCAGTTCATACTAAATAGACCATTTAGTTATTTTATTTTATCAAAGCGACGCATTCAGATGACTGATGCTGGTGTTTACAAATGCACCGTCTTTCAATGTTCAAATTGTCCCGATGTACTAGGCTTTGAAGATCGACCGTTACACATCCTCCCAGATGTGTCAATGTTAAGTCTGAAGGTGAAGCGTTTCTCTCCGACTGGGACGCAGCAATCCGCCTGCCAGGATGGTCCCATTTCAAGTCTGGCACCGGGCGAAAAGTTGCTTATCTCTTGTTCTCACACAGCACCAAAAGGCGCACTACCCGATAGATATCACATCATCTCTTACGGATTAGTGAGCGACTCGAGTGCGGACGGTAACCTAGGGAACCTAGTTACATCAGAAAGTTTTGCGGAGCCAGATCTTGTCACTCTGACCTCCGTCGGAACACTCAGGTTGCCAAACTTTCCAGAACCATCGAAAAAATGGCACATTCAGTGCCAACTGCCACAGACCGTACTAGCTCGTGTGTCCATTGACAGTCGCAGTGGTAGTCCTTTAAATAAACAGCAAACGAAAAGTGAACAATTGTTTGACATTTTGAACAAACGAGACCCGGTGATTATTAAACACAAGGTGGAAACCCTTGAAGGTCGCAAAGTGCACAGTCTTAATGATTATGTAACGTTAGAATCTATCCCGCGAGCCGGCATCCCGGGTAGCGACAGAAATCACAGCATTGAGGAAGGCGCGTACATAGTAACGTATGTCGCTGATATCGGACTACCATCAGGTTGGACCTTCTTAAGATTGTATTACGTGCATCAGGGTGCAGTGATTCACTCAGACCGTTGTATAAACCTAAGGGTAAGAAACGTTTCAAGCAATCCATCTTATCGTTTACACAAGAGTATCTGTATTGTGCAGCCTGAACACATAGCGCTCCTCATGGTGGCGGTACACTTACCTGAAATGTTGCAACCTTGGTGGACAGTGCAGCAGATGATTGAGACGATGCTACTCACCAACTTAACCAAGTGGCTTGGTTACAAGAGCAGAATGCCTGTAGTTCGAGATGATGTAATATGTTTCAGATTTGATTATCGCTTGCTTCGACTAAATGTCAGCTGGAAAGCTATTTTGAATGCAGGTGATCCAATACGTATGCAGGGACGTCTAGGAGCATTTAATCCAAAATCGTTGACATGCCATCATCAGCCAAAATATAAAGAAAAACCTACTAAACTAACATCTGTATTCAACATAAGCTTTGTCCAACGCACGCGACAATTTTTTATCATGAAACCGAACGCAGACCCCGCAGACACGGGTTATTACCACTGTTTTGACCCGAACGTATCATCGCATGCACCGCTCTACATCGGAATGCAAAAGCGTAAACTACTGGTGTTACCGTCTACAAGTCGTGCGCATTGTATTTTGTTTTTGGATGAAGATCGAACTAAGTTCGCGGATCGTTTACAGCGACTAGAGGAGGGAATGGTATACTTATTGTCAGGACAAACAGCGTTTATACAGTGTGCATTTGAAGAGAGTCTAGAAAGCCTCTATGATATCAGTTTTGGATTGGCATACGAAATTCACGATACTCGGACCAATCAACTACATCAGCTCCCATCTATACTTTTCCGGTCGGAAAGAAACCAAATCGACGGGATCAGATACATTGTGCATCTGCATCGAATCATGGCTCCATCGGCGAATTATTCTACTGGCTCACTCCGAATTCATTGTTTCGGCAAATTAAGTGACACTGCTATTCCAAGGAGTATCAATCAGTTCAATGATTCGGTGCAAGTAGGATGTGACCAGTGGCTCACAATCCGAGAGCCGGCCAATGGGAACCTCAACATAGATTCTTTGGTTGACTATTTTGAGCATCAACCGGTCCCACTTGGATCCGAATTTACTTGTAGTGGTGGCCAGGGCATGCCACCAATAAGACATTCTTGGGTACGCATCAAACCACCCCTTTATTCGGATAAAAGCACTGATGAAGATCTGGCAATGCTTCTCCCGGCTGATGGTGGTGGCTGGGGTGGACCCGACGAACCATTCGTGGATATGCCACGGGATGGTCTGGAAGTGATTGGGCCTCTACTACGAGTCCCCTATAATGAGAGTTACCGGGGAATGAGTTACTTGTATAAATGTGTGGGTACGAACCAAATTGCTGGTGTGTCATTTAGTATAAGCCGCACTATACATTTATCCATCCTCATCTGCCCAACGGATCAAATATCCATGGATATGTCCATGTACCATAGCCCACGCCTCATGGCAGCGTGCAGAATTGTGAATAATCCCCACCCGAGTATACAACACTTTGGTTACTTTTACCTTACTCTTGTGCGACAGCTAATTTTGGGGCTTCCGTATGGTGTGCACTCGACAAGGTTTAGTTTACTGTCCAGAAAAAGAACGGGCATGGGTGGATTAAAAAAAAGCTCATTTCATTGGACGCCTTTTAGTCCGCTAGTTCCACGAAACGAACTGCTGAAAAACATCTATTCCAAACAAGTAATGCCATCATCAGGACAGGCTGCCTGCATGTTGCGTTTGGACCCTCTTTCAGATGTCGTGTCAGGTCTTAATCACTTGTACCAGTCTGGCTTTGACAAAAATCCAGTTTTCCTATTTCCCGTGGACACCTTCATGACAGTGGACCTCGATGTCAAGCTGGTAGCTGAACTGATCCGGTTGAATAAAAGTGGGATCAAGGTTATACTTGCGTTCACTCATCCCATCCATAGTGAGTACAATGAATACAACGAAAAGCTCATTCGGCTGCTGTCACCTTTCAAGTACCTTAATATATTGCCTTATTTTGAAGGCACCTCAGATTGCTATAGTTGTCAACTCGAATTTAAGGACAACAGAGCGCGAATAGCTCGCCTGGGTTTGTTCAATGCCGTTTGCCAAGCTGCAGGTAGCGTTGCGCCTCCTCCTATTGACTCGCCGTATTTGATGTATTCGCTACCTAAACGACTGTGGTCCCCTGGATTGACGATACTCATCACATGCATGATGTCCAGAACCATTCCTAATGCTTATGCAGAAGGCATCGAAATGAGTATTTGTTTAACCGACAATAAACATATTGAAGCACTTGCACAGCCTCCGACTCCAAACGTACAACGGTTGAGAAAATCGTGCTACCGCACACTCGACGCCCGACAGTTTTCAGCTTCGTCCGAAGAACGGTTACACATGGGGAAAGGAAGTGTGACTGGAAAAGTAGTGGTACAAAACACCACATACGGGCTTACTGTTCTTTGTTATCAAAGGTATGGAGAAGAGCAAGCCAAGGTAGGTTAAAGTGCTATCACTCTTCAGTTTTTAGTTAGATTGATTATTTCTTTCTCTTCTTCGCTCTCCATCCAGCATTTTGAGTACATGGAATGTGCAGTCTAGTCACCTTAGGTTAGGTTGCGTTGATAATTAAGACGTAATGGAAGAGGAAGCCAGATGAAACGCAGCTTGAAAGGAAAGTGGTTAAAATCTTTTAAAATTCTTGAGAAAAGGTTGATATTTCTAGAAAGAAGCTGAATGCCGAAATGTCGCGGACCCATCAAATGCCTCATGTTGAATAAAAATTAAACTATTTGCTTTAGTCGAGCGAGTAGACTGCGTCTTGAGAACTGGTACACAGTAAACGGATAAACTCAGTCTGTTACCCTGTCATACCGTTTACTGGATACGCACAAAGTGCAGCGTTGGTTAACAACTCGGCCGTGGTGGGTGTTCGGTAAGTATACGAGAAGCGGAAATTACCGTGCACATCATGTTCGGGTTCAGCAGGTGGCTGATGATCAATTTTGTTCACTTTAGAGGTAATGACGATAACTTGATTGCTGCCAGAGGCCGGCTCTAAGTAGAGCTTGGATATTTAACACAATTTCAGATCGAACTCTGCTGGACCAACGAAGGAGTGGTTTTAAGGTTTACACAACACGCAGACTGTCTGATGAAGTAAAACAACACTAGTTTGAAGCACGTCCTCATATGCACTTAGGTTGGCCCTAGGTAAGATACAACTGCTTTGAGTATGCATCTAGCCAATTCATTATGCATGACACTGAATGGCACTGATGTCACCACAATTATTAGTGCGGTATCAGCAGCTTGAATGAGCGACAGATGGCGCCAACAGAGCCATTGCAAAACAACCTTCTTGCCAATGATCGATGCTGCCAAATAGTTGAAAGCGCAAGCTTCATTTTTATGGTTCAGTGGCTCAAGCATATTTTCTTTCTAGTTTGTCGATACAAATTACAGCAGATGAGCGATGTGTGCTCTAAATTGAATAGAGAAAGATGGAGTAAACAAAAGCACTAGTGACTTTTGACAACACCATCTCAGTTGGTTAAACCGGACCGCTCATGTGTGATCAGGGTGACGAGTGCAGAATGTCACTACTGGCACTGATCAACGCACAATCGAAGGGTGGTGTTGCGGAAGCAAGTCTGGATGTTCGCGTGACATTAATGGTACGGTGCTGCAGCGATCAGGTCAAACCCATTTCACTACTACAGATGCCACCTCACTGCGAGTATATGGCTCGGATGAGCGCAGATTAAAAATACCAGGGTTGTGCATTACGAACCTGACTTCGTTATACTTAACATCCCAAAGTCAAACGACTTACCCAAGTTTATAGCTTTGTTTCTTAAAACTACAGTCAGAATTATAGCTTTCTGTCAAAAAGTGAAAAAACTGTGACAAACTGACGGGGTAACGGGGCGTAATGTTATTACGTGGTGTAATGTAACGGGGTTTCAAGTCAGAATTCTCTAGCTTAGGGGGTAGAATTGTAACGTAATCGTCTCTCGTCTATGAGCTCAAACATGGAAAAACCGCTGACAGGGTGCTTGAGTGCAGATGGCAAGCAGCACGAACGGTGCACCAACGAGCGTATGCTTGTTAGTTGCCAATGTCTTGTTAGTTGCTTTGGCGAAGACGTATTGCACGTGGTGCAACGCAAGCCACGCATGGTCCCTTTGTTGGCGCAGGTCTACTGTCTGTACTATAGAAACCGCAGTGACAGGCAAATCCGGAATCGGTTGCCACCGTATATATATATATACATATATATATATATATATATATAATGTCCAGTGTAAACCCGAAACAATAAGACCAAGAAGAATGTGGATGGAAGCCACGTTTCATCAACGGAGCCGGCCCAATATCCTTCAACAAGCAGAGCGGAATCATATATACCTTAATGGGAAATCGTGCATATCAGCCGTACCCAAAGCGGTGGATGGACCGTAGCCCGTTCCACACTGGATGAAACCACGGTTTGAGCCTAACACCGTTAGGAGTACCGTGCATCCCGTTTCCTCCAGCATCGATTAACTGTCTTCTGGAGCCAGTATAGGCTTGGTGGTGGGTAATAGACAGGTAGCCACCTAGTCAACATCCACAACAAGCGCAGCCACACCGGGGGTATCAACCAGCAACCAACCGCTGAAAGGCAAGAAACTCAACCCAAAAGCATGCGTACAGACCAACTACAACGAGGATGCGGCACATGCACCACATCAACCGCCTTGTTGGCATGGGTTAGTTAAACGGAATAGAAGTAGACGCATCTCACCTACCAATCGTTGCGCTGATTGTGCTTAGATAATCAGTTGGCTTGTGGTCCTTTGGATGCTAGCCCCACGTGGCAATGCTGGTGGCTCACTGGGAGTTGTTGGCTCAGGTACTCGCGACTTACATCAACTTGCGCTTGAAGTCGATGGGCTAGAACCCATCGGCGCTTGTTGCTTCCGTACATGGCGTTTCTCTTCCTCATGCAACAGAGTTTTCTGCTGCAGCTGGGCAACCGTACTCTTGACCAACTCACGTAATTAGCAACAATCAACTGCCTCTGATTCCCAACAGCTGAAATCAACATTTGTTCGTGACCAACACACATTCATCATGTTATGGCAACGCAACTTCGGTTTCCCAACGTGCCGCTTCTTAGCACTAAGTTGTTCAAATAGAGGTGCTTAGGTATCCGTGTCGAATCTATGAGGCTGATATGCCCCAGCCAACTCAGGTGCCCCAGCAGAAATATGCAATCCACCTCACACCTGCCACTGCAGCGCAGCACTTCCATGCCTGCAAATCTGTCGCACTAGTCGATGCGTAGAATCTGTCGCAGACACTTCTGATGAAACCGATCAACATATCTGACGTTCTTCCGGTGTAACATACATGTTCTACTCTCCTATAGAATAACGGACAGAAATATAGACTTGTATAACATCAGCTTGGTTCTAAAGGTAATGTGGTGATTGTTCCACACGCGCAGTTACTTTTGATACGCGAGCACGTCGCTTGCTTATCACCAGCAAAACGGTCAAACGTACACTACAGAGGTAGCTAAAGATCGAAGTGGCTTCCAAGACATCAGCACCGATATGAATTCGCTGCAAACATACGGATCCTATTTCTGGTGTAGGTTGAAAAATCCAAACAACCTTGCTTGTGTAGACGAAGAGCCCGAATTGGGCCGCTGTCGAGGCGAGAGCCGAAGTCGTGTGCTGAAAGTCATCCGCGCTGTGCGTAAAAAGCGCACAGTCGTCAGCAAACAGCAACATACGGCTGGTTGTCTTACACTCTAGGCTTTTTGCCCCGAAACGACGGGGGTTCGGCAATCCACCATTAATACAGTACTCCATGCTGACACTGTAATCACAAGCCCAGTGCATCATTTCAGGAAGGTACATGTCAAACAGGGCAGGGGGTAGGACACAATAATAGTTCCGACCACAGACAATAGCCAAGTCATCCGGAGATCGTCCAAACAGCTCCACCCTTACCCGCATACCACTGTGCAGACATACTGCTAAACTTACAAATTTGCTCGGACGACCAAAGTTAACCAACAGCAACTACAGTGCTTCGCGGTCACCGTGAAAAAAACAGCGCGTACAATGGCTGGTGTCTATCAAGACACTTCTGCTACAACTGACGAGCAACAAAACCATCTTGATGGCGGTGCGGCCCGAACGGAATTCACATGTCTCCTCCGCCACTTTCGGTTCAACGACCTGAGTAAAGAGGTGGTTCAGCAGGATTCGTGTTATCAAATTCGCTACACAACACAGCAAGTTGATACCAGCGTAACTGGTCATCATCATCATTATACACGTTAGCTAGAGGTGTAAAACAGCTCAGCTACTGTGCCGCAATACACAAAAGAAAAAAGAAAATAAATACAACGGTTGTATTCCAGCTGAGCTACCGGCAACGGATGGTCATCGTTCCGCAAAGCTAGCATCATAACTGCTGCAACATTGCTTATTTCACTTGCCCTTGTACAGTGAGAGCACAATGGCATCATTAAGCTCGGCTAACACATCCTGCTTAATCCCCAGGCGTTGCTTCAAATGATGTAGCGCATGTAGAAACGGGCCTGCCGTTTCTCCAACATTTCAGGCGTGATCCCGTCGGCTCCAACACAATTGCAATTTCGCAGCTGAGCAAGTGCTCTCTGTGTCTCATCCAGTGTCATTTTGTCAGAAAGACACATCTTCATTTCTTGTTGCTGCAGCCCGTGCAACCAAACCCAGTCAATCGCTGATCGGTCGTTCAAGAGCCAGTCAAAGTGGTTTCCTCAGATCAGAATTATGCCTACAGCGTGTGTGCAGGTAGTGTCTGAAGTAGAACCGAGCAGCGTTCGCAGCTTCTGCAACGGATCCATACACCGCCTCCAATGACTTGAGGAATTCTTATGTTGACAGCCTTCAGAATAGCATTCCATCTGCATCAACTTCTCCGTCCAGCGTGCATTCCTGATTCGACGGAGCATGCAAACATAACACCGTCAAAATTCGCAAAACCGACTCTCCTTCTCCAAGTCGGAAGGGTCCTTCACATGCGCATCAAATGTTGCATTCTTCGTTGACAACATTGCGCCAATCTTAGCACTGTTGTCATCAAACCAATCGGACAGATTACAGTTCACTCGTCAAATGTCACGTGTGATCTAGTTACACGTGACACAGCGCGCTGACAGAGGAAATAGAATCCACACTACACATGCGGGTAGCCATTGCGTTCTCTAGCTTGATTGTTTTCCCAGTAGTAGTTAGGGAAAGAATATTGAATTTCTTCCGATTGACGACAGGCAAGCAATAAGCAGATTTAGGGAAATAGATGTACAATTTGGTCCGCACCAACTTATAATCAATGCCACGATCAGATCCACGCGGTACAAGTGTCATGCGCACTTCACGCATAGCACGCTGGAATACGAGGACATAGTCGAGCAGGTGAGCGTGACCATTCTGTTGGTGCGTCCAAGTAGCTATGTCACTCGCCACGGTGCAAACTGTGTTCGTGACCATCAGGTCATGAGTGGCGTACAGTGAGAACAACCGGTTACTGTTCTCATTGGCCGTGCCACTATCATACGTACGAGGACGTCTGTCCACACCGATGCAGCACACCCAACGCGCTTGTTGAAGGCACCCGGTAAGAATAGCCGGTCGCTGTTCAGCACAGACCGTATCACGGATGATGACTAAGTGTGGAGCTGATCGCGCGTGTCATCATGATAACACCTGGTGGGACCATAAATGCTAATGACGGTTGCAAAAATACAACCACCAAGGCGTTGACGAAGAGACATCAGTCCTGCACTGATACCGGTCGGTCCTGCCACTAGCTGGCCATTTAGGCGGTCGAATAGTGCGATTCCGACCCCAAGTTAACGTGGTGCTGAGGTGGCGTTCCCCAAGCCGTAGAACGGGTAACCAGCACCACTCCCATGGTGATTGTCTTGGTCAGCGAGCAGAGTCCCGCTGAGTGCATCAATGTCGATCCCGTAGTGCACGAGTTCAATCGCTCCCAGTGCAGTGCGTCGCTCGGAACGTTCTCTAGCATTCTGGTTGAGTGGTGTGCGCGCGTTCTAGCACACGATGTTGATCGCTATGAGCAGATGCATATGACTACGTTGGCGGGCAGTCGTATGGAAGGTGATATGGACTGAGGGAAGTTGGGGATTAAATTGAAATGGGAACCGGGAAGAATGTGTAGGAGAAGAAGAAGAAGAAATGGAGGAGTCAGGAGCAGTATGTTTCCGCTTATCCACCGTGCAGTATGCAACAGGTAAGGGGACGAAAATGGTTTGGAATACTGGCAGCTCGGATTGACTACTTAGTTGCTCAGTTGTTCGCCGAGCTTGGCTATTTGGTTGTAAACGTTTCGTCACCAATCGAGGTGACATCATCATTACAGAGTTGGATGTCGTTTGGTCGCGAAAGCTCGTACCGGGCAAATTCAGGAATGGACACCACAGAAGAAGGGGAGTCGGTGTCGAAAACGTCGACGGTGATTTTCTTGCGAGTTCCATCGTATCAAGAATGTACGGTGGACGGAGATGTTGAAACATATGGAATGCTATTCTGAAGACTGTCAACTTAAGGAATTCTTCAACTCATTGTAGTCGATGTATGGATCCACTTTGCAGACGCTGAGAACGCTGCTCGGTGGTACTTCAGGCGCTGCCTGCACACATGCTGTAGATATTTTGCACATCTTGCCTAAGCCCTTCAACTGTCTCTTGAACTACTGTTTGTAGCTTGAGTGGTACATGTTATACGGGCTGCAGCAACAAGATATGAAGATGTGTCTTTCCGACACACTAACACTGCATGAGATGCAGATCACTTGCTGAGCTGCGAAATGGTAATTGTACCGCAGCCGCCGTGAAACCACCAAAAATTTGGAACTCGGCGGGCCCCTGTTTGTAAATGCGTTGCAGCAATTGATCGGGGTTAATAAGTATTCGGCTCGTTTATTGGTCCCTCCCGTTATTTTTCGTGCTTAAAATACGCATAATTAGCCACTTACATGCAGCCTATAGGTGGGGTATATGAAGCATGTCTGAACCCTCTATGTCAGTGAAGGCAACCTATCAAACGTATGGTTTGATAAATTCACCTGAAAGTGGCATAGAACAACCACAGTTAATATACTTTTTCGCATGCATGCGGTTATCTGGGCTGGTCATGCAAGTAAAGGCTGGATGTTATGGATATATGATGGAAGCACTCTAACTATATAGTTGTCAGAGGTTAGTGCTCTGGTCCGCGTCAGATAGACATTGTATTTTGAGCATCGAATGGCCACGGATGCTGTGATTGCTATGATAAATCTTGCTTGTTGCTCCCCATGTGCCTCCCTGGAACTAAAGGCAGGTTGAAATTTCAGCCCATCCAATAAAACGCTCAGAGAATCACAGCAAGTATTTTTAAAAATGCCTCAATGACTCATCTCACATAGTACTACAGAAATCTGGTCCATTGATGCGCTGGTTCTATTAGAAGATGCCTTACTGGTGTTTTTAGTGGCAACAGACACCGAACCTCAACCCTGCCAGAGGACTTTCTACCCAGATGGCCGACGAAGCATAACGCTAGTCCGGACTGAGATCCTAAACTTACTGACCCAGCCAGAGTTAAGATGTAAGTATATCTAGCGGTGGTTCAGACGTTAATGGTGTAAGAATACAATAAATACGTGTTCATGTTGCTTGCATTGCGTTCCCCCCCCCCAGTTGTTTGATTCCATCAATTTTACCTACTTGCACGTGGTGAGATCAGTCGACCAGATTGGAAAGCCAAATCTATCCCTGGTGCAATGGCCAAGTACGGAAACAGCAGCAGCCAAATTTCGCTGCATTTTTGAGGGATTCGCGGCGAACTTGGAAGCTCTGCTGTTGTATCAGAAGACGAGCCATTTGAACTCAAAGAACACGAGATACACAATCATACACAGAAAAGTTGTATCAGCGAATCCTGTCGGTCATAGCACAACCTGCGCTTTGCATTGGTTCGAGCTCTCGACAACGATTGAAGAGGGTTTCTTCTATTGTCTACTCCGACCAATTTCAAACAGCACAATATCCCAGCGCTTTCTGGCGCAGCTTCCAGCGGTGTCTTCGTTCACTCGTTACAGTGACCCGTTGCCAAAACCGCGAACTAAATTCTATTGCCCCGTCAAACCCCATTTATCGCTCTTAGAGGAACAGCGGTTAACTAGCTTAAAAACCGGATCTTCTCTGAACGCCAAATGTACTGCTGTCGGAAATTCCATAGAACATTCAGTGCATCTTGCCTACCTCACTACGTCTTTTTCTATATTCCTGTGTTTTCACACTGGTGTTCACTACCGTAACGAATCCACCTGTTTTTTGACATTGCCTAGCGATCGAGACTGCCATAATCGATCTAGAACCGATTCTAAGCAACTTTCTGATTACTCCTTTGAGTGCGTTCACAGGACGGAATCTTCTGATCATTTGATGCGTCACGTTATACTATTCCGCATTAAAAAGCTACAGGCAAGAGATTTCAACGCTCGTCTGTTCTGTTACATAGCCGGACAACATGTGCCGGATTCACAAAATATTCAGCAAAGTCTGACAAGCCGGGTCCATGCGGTACGATTCAATCTTAGTCCACAAGTGGTGCATTTCGCTTTCGTTCCGAACACAGAGAGTTGGCACTGTACAATCGTTTCTTATCCTTTCGTCGGCCAAGGGGATTTACGTCCCATCCGCGTCATGCCACACTGGCTACGAAAACAACTCGCTGACTATGTGTCTACAGTCAGCCGTGTGCAACCTCGCATACTTCACGAAGATTATGTATCCGGTACACGGTTTGAACCGGTGGAGTATAGAATAGACATCTCATTCCATCCAGTGATTCCAGTTGTCGGTGGGCTAATGAGCGGAGAGGCGGAGTTCCAGTGCAGCGTGAATGGGGTTAGTCAAAATCTGGTCACAGTCATCGGTCAAGGGATCTCGGCTAATGAATCCGATTCCGCCGTCCACATGCTGCATGAGCACGGCCGTCACATGCGTCTCAACTGCTCGTTTGACACAACTGCAAGCAACCCTATTACGCAGATTAACTTACATCGTCTGGTAGATACCACGTGGCTGCAATTCGATCTCGTGTTGCTCACAGTCAAGGTGTCTAACAAAAGTGCTCAACTTTACCAGGCGAACAGCCCTTCGTCGACCTTTTACCTTTTCGGGCCTTGGGTTATGGGTGGAGCTCCTGAAATTCGTGTGCTCACGGATGATGCGGAAGGAAGGAGTGCGGTGGACATCACATGGATCCGGGGCACAGTGAGTTCCTAGGTATTGCTGGTTTTATTTCGTACCCCTACGCTGTGACTTGATTGATACCTGTCGCTTTTAAGTGCTATGATGAAAAATGCTAGATTATCACCTTGCTTAGCGTCAACGGCTTTACTTTTAAGAATATAGAAGTAAAGAATCATAACATTCCCAAAGTTTTAGAATACAAATAGGTTTTCTGTAAGCTTGTATATGGACAACATCTCGCCTTTGACAAAAGAGCTCCTTCAAGGGGGAAACGTTGTCCATTTACAAGTCTATAGAAAACCGATTTGTATTCTACAACTTTGGAAATTATGTTATCCCAGTCAGTTCCAAGTTTATTCCAAGGTATTGAATCACAGCGTTTGCCTTGCACATGATACCAACTTTTATATCGATTTAAAGCGGATTCACTGACAGTAAATGCTAAGATGCTACTATGCGGGTGCACAGCCCTTAATTGCAGTTCTGTTTTTCATTTACCAGCAGATAATACATCGGCCATCGATGATTTTACACGCAATATATTCGCTGTGAAGACGCAGACTCCTCCATGGTCTCAAATTGTAGTTTAAACGTTTCACTTTGGGATGTTAGCGCATGGAATTCTGGTGTATAAATATGAGGAATTACCGTTGTATGAATAGTTGAGAGAGACTCTTGGCCAGTTGCTTAAGTCATTGGTGAGTTGAGGGTACAGTTGTAAGGTCCCGGAGCAGGGGACTATCAAAACTTTCCCTGCAGAAGCCTTGTTGAGAGCGGGCTGTCAACACACAAAGGCGGCTCGTAATAATACAATGTATAAAAGCCTAGATGGATCGAGGATCGCCCAAGTGGTTACGAGGTGGCAGTCCAACAAATGGAGCTCTAGACGGGATTGCCGTAGAAGGAAGAGACTCAAGGTGAATAGAGATTATATCTAGAGGCCAAATTCGTGGATAGCAGCTATTTGCGTACGTGGCATAATAATGCATTACCGCCAGAGAGATACTATGAACCTGAAGGAATATCAGGAAACTACGAAGTATTTCAAATCGCTTATATGATTTCATTGGAGTCCTGGTGGTCCCTTAGAGCTAAGAGCGTACTTGTTCTAAAGGCGGGGGCAGTAATTCACGCTTCCAAATAAAGGAGCAGGCTACATAACTGAATGCCTCATCTAGTTGCCCCAATTTTATAGTGAACGAGGAAAGCGAGAGTGGGGAATTGTCTAAGACTAGTTTTTATTATACCATCTATGACGATATTTGGAGTAGCCAACTTCTGTTGACCAACTGATAGGCCAGTACGAAGAAAGGTTTCATGAAGCGTTTTGAGACCGTCCATAAAGACCGTCTGATCCGGGGCAAAAAATGACTGCGATAATATTGTTAGTGAAACAAGAGGTTACAAGCGAAGATGCAGTTTATCATATGGGGTGAAGGTGGAAACGGAGGAATTTGATCGCAAGAGGTGGTTTACAGCCATCATAACTGAGTGGGGAACATGTGAGACGAGATTCGAATCAGGGAGCTATGGTACATGCGTTGGTGGGAGGACGTTATCTAGAAGTTTCATAAATCAGGGATCTTTGAGGTTCCAGGTTCCAGAAGTAGCGCAGCGTGATAAGCTTATGCGAATTGCCGTACAAAATACATAGAACAATAGAACCGAATATTTTGAAAGGTACAAGGCTTCAAGTAAAGATTTATACACCATCGGACAAGTACATAAATCAGTATTAAACCAGGTGTTTGAAGAGAAATCGCTGAGAAAGGCAGAAAACTCTTAACAAACGGCGTAACAAATAGGAAATGGCTATAGCTTTTGAAAGGCAGAATAAAATTAACAAGATATGTCTTAAATGAAAGCCTGTAACAAACTAAACTGGAATATAACAAAATTTGGTCCTAGCCAGCTGATAATACGTACTAGCTACAATTATCTATCCTACACATTTAGCACAAGTTCCGTTTGTAAACCCTCATATTTGGGGCGAAAATATAAGAAAATATATCCCGTCATCGGTATTTGTCTAAAGGCATCCAACGGTGTAAAGTAGTTTATTCGCTGATGCAGTACCGCAGAGATTCTGCAATGGAAGATCGTCGCTAAACCGGGCGAAACACGGTAAGGCAAACATCGAGTCTGCATGTCAAATATGCTCTGGCCACCATAGGCTGTACGGCGAGCTTAAACTGCTGAACAGTCGGTACTTGTTTGATTTGGAAATCCGTCGACAACATCACCATTACTGATGTGATGCTGCCATTTTATCAAACGCAACAGAGATCAAAAACAGACAACCTCTGAACATCTTTTTACGAGCGTGCATATTCCGCTAGTTATAGAGCAGGGTGGCTCAAGTCGCAGCATTAGAGATTCGGCTCTTCAGAGATTGGTTCGAGTTGTATCGGCGCCAAAAATGACGGGACATAGTAAAAGCAAGCGAAGCCTTAGGAGACAAGCAATTAAGCCTCATTGGTTAAACAGTTGGCACAGACCCAGCTTCTGAGGTAAAAGAACGTGTTTACCAATATCAAGGGACAACTAGAAGTTGTGAGAGTAGGAGCAGATTCTAGTCAATCCCGTAGGAAGCAGTTGCAATTTGATGGAGCGAAGGTCATTACAAAATGGGAGACGGATACATTCCAACCTACGCAGTATGTTTGGGCCTGTTAGGAATCCCAAAGTATGGAAAGGTTGTCTAGGTGAGAAGGGTGATAACAATGGGCACACGAGTAGTATATACGTATGGAGACAACGGTGACCGCAGCTGTTGCATGCAAGGCCCCATCGTTTTGGCACGAAGCGCCACAGCAACCCGTGCTGAACGGCAGTGCACCAAACGTGAACTGGTTAGTTATAGCATTGAAGACGGGTAGCTCAGGTTGTTCAGATGGCGGTTGAACTGGTTAGCACGTTAACGGCATCTTGTATCTATTAAACTGTATGATAGTGCAGGGCGCAATACATTAGATGAATGGGGGTTGTACACCGCGGACTGGTAGAAGGACTAAACAAGGGGGATAACTTGTGAGCTGGTGCATATCAGTTACATTAGTACTCTGTATTAGTTGATAGTTATGGAAATAGTCGGATGTATCCGGCCCTAAGTAGTGCCTATGAAAGACAAATATGAAATGACCCATCAGGAGACGTCAGCAAATTTGTCTGATTTTTCAGCGCTCAAGTTTGTAGTGAAGTAATGTTGGATGTACCAGTGTGAATACTGAATATTGAATACCGAGAATAGAGAGCAAGAAGCTCAAAATCCTTGTTGCTCCATCGTAGGTGGATCGGGCACATGCGCGGAATCACGTCAGTGATTCCTGCGTGGTGGCAGCATATTGCAGATGCACCACATCTTATCCGGGTGCGTTGCACTCCTTATACCTCTGGTCCGCAAAGTAGGCGTCAAGGACTCTCTTAAGTTCCGACACCGACTTCGCCTCGACTAGCGTCTCTGGCAATTTGTTCCAATTTTTCACCACTCTTCAATAAAACACCTAATTCTATCCTTTGTCATCAGTCGACTTGCATTGGTAAAGCACGGTTCGTAAAGAGCACGCGGAGGTTCTTATCAATCAAAGCTGTTTTGACCACATCCTAACCTCCCTTCAGTTACTGAGGCACGCCCCCTTTATTGGCTACCCATCCTAATCGTTTTCCTCGACATTCAAGATGCATTCGATTCGGTGGACTCATGTACTTTTTAGGACTGCGTACTTAGGAATGGTGTGTCCCAGAAACACGCACATTTACAAGCGTCTAATGCAGATTGCTTGAACAGAGCAAAGGTTATGGTAAATCAATAAAGTGTACATTTCTCGACAATGCGACACAAACCGGTTACGTGGTCTGATCAGTTTGCACATATTCGAATAGTGGGGGAAGTTGTCTGAGTCTTTCAATGCAGTTCCGAAAAGAGTATCTTGGGTTTTCTTTCAGTTAAAATTTATGAAAAGACGAAGTTGAGAGTGCAAATAAAATTAGGTGTAGCTATCAATTCAAGTGAAGTAATACGACCATCCATGAAATCGTCTTATGGGGACCAACTATCATGCAGCGTAGTCCATAAAGAGGTTTCATCCGCACCTCCATGTCTCAGCTGACCATGTGTTAGTGTGGCATAAAAGCAAGTAAACCGTCACGCTCTTGACGCATCGTTATGGCAGCTGTTAGAAGCAAGTAGGCTGTCATCAAGTTGAAGCATATTTCAAGGCCCCTGTTACATGCTGGACACTTTCGCCATATAACCCAGTGCAACTTTCAGCTCTTTCGAGCCAGTGAGCTTTGGGAAATTTAATTGTGTAGGTGCACTAGTTAGTTTGGAACTCTCGATACGTCACCTTAGGAGATCGGCCCGGTTGTGCACAACAGTGCAAGGAGAACAAATACAGAAAGGAGATGAAAGAACAATAGCGGTAAATGAATGGTTTGTGTCCGATGGCTGTCTGATACGAATTCTACATAAAGATCATAGAAAATAAATAACCTACTGAAGTAATAATAAAAATAGAGGTCTCAAACAAAAATGGAGCTAGATCCGACAGCTACGGACGATTGGAAAATAGGGCATTTAGTTCAGTAAATCCATTTTGCTGGTCACTGAGAACTGCTAACGGTATCCAAGCCGTTGCCTCCGGGGAAGAAGAGAAAACAGAGCAAGTACAATGAATCGACAAAGTAAACACAATACAAATCGCCTCCTTAGTCGGATTATTCGTGTGGTTACACGGATATTGCTTCGGCAGATCCAACCTCAACTTCAATTAAAACTACCACCAAATTAGTTACAGTGAGAAACGAAAACAAATTTTAAATGTAAGTATAGCACTGAGTGGGCGACCGTTATGTTGCTTGCATTTATTAAATATTCCCCGGGCATTAAGAACATAGATCCTCGATCGTTATTTGTCATTCAAACAGGTTAGCTGCATTCCGCGAGTGGAAAAATTGGTTTAGCTCCTTTATGAACTGCTCGATAGGTAGGCTTGTTCCTAGTAAGCATGACAGTCAGTTTC